TTAATAATTTTCTGTCCTATGTTCACATCTATATGTATTATTATTTGTAGATTCATTACTTTTTGAATATTATAAAATATATATTTGGTACAAATATATGAGATATTTTCGTTTGAAGCGTAACTCTGGTGACTGCCACTCTCTAATTAGAGAGTTTCACCCGAGTGGAAATGACGCTGTTGCGAATCAACACCCCCAATTAACAAGTTGGAAACGCATATGAATGTATACAGATATATATATATATATATATATATATATATATATGCTGTGTACAATAATTTATATAATAGGCCTTGCTAAAATATATCATTATGGTAATATAATTGATATTTATATATACACATATTTAGGTGTGTATATACATTAGGGTGGTCCTTAATATGGATGTTTTTGAATTCTTTGCTCCCAGGGGCTCATGGTTTCAAATTGATAAAAAAAATCTCTGAAAGGTTTAGTTTTAGCATATTAACTTTAAGTAAGCTAAAGTTACCTGGTTCTTCTTTCTAAGTAAATACTTATTTGATAAAATATATCAATTTTTTGTCGTATTTTTTTATTTATAATCAAAATAAGCACATACAATGTTATTCTCAAAATTTTGATTCACTTGTCGCTAAGTTAGAAAATTCTAAAAACTAAATGAAAATTTATCCATGCTATTTTTATAAGAATCTTTGGTTGGAATGCACACTATCTTAAAATTAATATTAATACTTAAAACTTTAAGAGATTTTTTTTATCAATTTGGAGGAATTTGAGCTCCTAGGAGCAAAAAAATTCGAAAATATCCATATTAAGGACCACCCTTATACATGAATGTATATACATGTATGTAGGGTGTTCCATGATGTAACAGTTTAATACGGTGGCCTGAGGTTGCGAGGTCGAGTCCCCGCTTCGGACAACCTGATATCGTGCAGTAGCGATGTTCATTTTTACTTGAAAATATAGATCAAAAATACGTTATTAGCCCATTTTGTGCACTGTGGTGTGAAATTTCAATGGGAAATTTCTCATACTGTACTTTCCTGATTCGTGTTAGAATTTAACTCAGCTCACGGTTTTGACCTAAGGCTGTACTACCCATTATACATGTGTACATATACATTTATATTATTTAATTGATGGTATTTTAAATTTGCAAAGCACATTATGAATAAATTTTAAATAACGTATTTTAATTTTTTGTTAAGCTTGTTGTATATCTGACATTCTAAAGTCGCATTTTGTCTTGATGTAAGTTGCAAAAACTTCCATACATATGCTACTACTAGAATAGAACTTAATCAATGAATTTTTTTTTTTTTAAATTATTACAGAATTTTAGACTTATTTAGATTTTTTTAAATTCTGACAGACACTTTTCGTAGGCCTATAACATTTTATGGTGTTCGTTCAGATCATGAGCTCTTTTATCATACATAAATTCATCAACAACTGATATTTTTTTCTTGATTTTTCAAAATCGGTTTTTAATTTTTGGCTAAAACGTGGACGACATATTTTGCACTTTTCAGTTAGTTAAAAAGAATTAGCTTGGTCGCGTGTTCTTATCAAGCTTAATTAAATGGCTTTTTAAATTTTTAAAATCATTGCAATTTTTTGAAAAGACATCGACGAAAGCTCAAATTTTTACTCACATATGCATATACATCAACAAACGATTTAGCTTGACTACAAACTTCTAGGGAACATAAAATTTCTTCAGATAACTGATAATCCAATTTTAAATTATAGTTTTTGTCTCAGATTAATTTATGAGTCATTGTTCAATAAGGAGAAAGACCTTACATTTTATGAAGCTGTCTGTGTTTTGTGATCCTGAAAAAACAGTGTAATTTTGTAACCTTTTATATTAATAATCAATCCTTTATCATAAAACTCTGAATATTATAAAAGTAGAGCTTTTGTGCTTTTGTTGTATTTAATAGTTCTATTTATACCCCTCTAAGCTCTCTGTATTTACTCTGGTATAACGAGATGAATGGAAATACGCAAAGATGCAAACAAAAAGACAAGCGCTCTCTGCCAAGACAAACTTAAATGTGCACTGGAATAAAGACGGCTTACAGATAACAAATTCCATTCGTTGAAAAGGTTATGTGTTTTTTTTAATAGAGGATACAGTTTCCGTATACACAGCACTCTAAGGTTCGATTAAATTATGAACTTAGTCGATTTGAGTCATAGACTAAAAAAAACTTTGTTGAAACTACGAGATTTTATAAGAAAAAGTTGCAATAGTTGGTTGCTTAGAATATGTATTATTGTGCTTCACTGCTATAATTTAAAAATAATTCAAACGTTCAATTTCAAGTTTTGGTTATTCTGTTGTCTGAAAGATTACACGAGCAGAGAAATAGATCAAGTACGCTTGAATATTTTGGTAATTCAACAGTTTAATACTTGAACTAAAACTACAAACTAAATATTATATATATATATATATATATATATATATATACTTATCTAAGTTATTTTTTTATCCATTCATATATTTTTCACTCGACTGTTTACACTGCAATGTCTATAATTATCTAAAGTAATGTTTCGATCAGTTACAAGGAAAGGGGTGAATTCATATTTTATGCAAAGTCAATACTGTAATAAGTTTGCCTCGTTCTATTTATGTTTGTCTGAATATATACCGTTGAAAAGTTTTCAATAAACAACTAGCTAATTATCGACTATATAGTTAAATATTTATTGGGTAAGCCCGGATGTGTATAACTTTGTTTGCCGTCCTTTCAGTTTGCTTTTGGCTTATTTGCTTAACAAAAGTTTTTCTGCGAGATACATTAATAAGCATCAATTTTGTCGTTAGTTTTCTACAATTTTTTAATTTTGTTTTAGTATAAGTTAGTTGTATAAACTTTGTAGTTTGTTAGTGAAAATTTACTTAAAATGGTATATAGAAATTCCTTGTACATAAAATAAAAATATTCGACACAAGGTATATCAGATTATATCAATGTTGATTAATATTTTCACTTTGTTTCGACGCTTAATAAGTGTCGTCAATCAGTAAATCAATTGTTTGCGAATTTAGTACATTTTTGCAATTTATACCATGAATCCTACTTTTCTTAGTTATCTCATTATTTATCATTATCATTTTTTGCATTTTATTGTGCTCATCAGTACTATAGCTGTTGGCCTAATTTGACTTACAGGTGGTAACCAAAACAATTGTCTCATCTCTAGTCTAGTCATTATAGAAAGTTTACTTCGAAATTCGTGCTACCCAGCTGTAAGTCTGTAAATACTTGTATATTGACATTTAAAAGTTGTCTCAAAACCTACATATGATAAGGTTTGTGTACGTACCATATGAAGGTTTGTAAGGGTGCACGTATCATATGTAGGTTTTCAGACAACTTTTATTTTATTTATATACAAGTATTTACAGACTTACAGCTGGATATCTCGAAATCCGAGATTTTTACCTACTTTAAGCTTAAATGACTGGACAACTCTGTGTGGTAAATTGTTCTATTGCATATGTAATATTGCATTTTGTTGATGCCGGATGAGCATTGATGCAATGCCGGATGAGAGCTATTTTTACTTGAAATTGTATTGCTATCTGAATTTCCAAGTTCCAAAACGTATGTCATTACTGCTTGACATCAGGCTCCTCAAAGCAGGTTCGAACACGGAATCTATGATTCTGGTCTAGCCGTTCTAGTCACTTACTCACGAGTGAACTCTTGTTTATCATAAATTTTTCCAAATACAAACTGGCCATCCGTTTCTCTTATCAAAAACACGGCAATAAAATATATATCAAAAAACATCATAACAAATCTACCGTGTTATATCCACCAATCTACAACATTTATGATCCTAACGACCCACCTCGTTTATGACATTTCGCCATGTTATTCTATTTTATTTATTTACGACCTCCACTATCGCCACGCTCATTTGATTTTAATTTTCTTGAAATCTGTGGAAAACGATCTCGTAATTTGATATCGAAATTTTATTCCGTTCATTTTACACGTGTACGGATAACATATTATCAAAACATGCAGGACTACGCATTGTGTAAGGTGAAATTTACATATCACTATTTATGGTTTCGAGGCAAAGTTTTGTTAGCGTGCACAGGGATTCGAACCAAAGTCGTATATCATGCGCTAGTTTGAGACAGGTAAGGGAAGGGGCACAGGTAAGGGATAAGGGACAGGTGGGGTTGAAATTCTTATTAGGTATAAAAGGATTACTGAAAATTTGCCATTAGTAAATGAGGAAAAGTGGTAATATTTTATTGATAACAATATTTTTTTACAACATATTACAACAGCGATCAAAGCTACTTCTTCTATAAGAATTTCCTTTATAAAATTCATCTGCTCATTCTAAATTCAATACTAAGGGATCGTTCAAGTATTACGTAAGCAGATTTATTACAATTATTTACCCCTCATCCCCCTGTCAGCAAAAGTAAGCAAAGCTCTTACCCCCTACCCCCATGCTTACGTAAACATTTTGCAATTAATGTAAAAAAATATATCTATAAAATATATCTATAAATCGTAGATATAATTATATATCTTATAGTCTTGTAATTCCTTATTATTTTTTTCTAACTTTATATTTTTGAGTTACAAAGGCATAATAAGGCATACTATTATTAATATAATTTTATTTTTTTACTAGCAGTCGGTACTAACCTCTACAGGTTTTTGGTAAATCTAGTACCTAACTATTAGAAGTCAACCCAGCAGATATTTTTCCTCTATTTGTGGAGATTTTTTATTTTAGTGTGGTTAACACTTTCTAAAATGTACAAAGACAGGTAACAACTTTACTAATAACTATTGAGGTCACAGAAATCTTGAAGTGAATTTTTACTGAATGGAATCTACAATTTCATCTGAAACTTATTGATTTTAGTTAAACTTGTATGATTTTGAATTATTGTCATCCAACTCATTTATGTATTTTTTATATATTTAAAGATGTATATATGTAATCTTTTTTTATTCCAGCCCCACCAGAAATTACAGTAGATAGATCATGGGTACATGCTGGTGAAGGACATGAAGCTCAATTATCCTGTACCGTCCATGGAGAAACTAATCCAGAGGTATGTGTCTATTTTTTTTAATTTCCATCTTCTAATAATCATAAGATATGTACTAGGTTTCTTATTACTTATTAATATTAATTGGATAAACTTCAATTTATACATTTTGCTTAACGCGAGTGTTTTTTGCTGACCGTTGTTATATTTTTTTCTCTATTAAATGTTTCTGCGTGTTGTTAAAACTTGTGTTAAACTAACATTTAGTTCTCCAGACGTACAAAAAACGTTTTACTTTAAATTTTCTAAATGAAATATGACCTTTGTAATTTCGTTGTAAATATAATTTACGAGTCCTCGCACCGAGTTATAGTGGCGCATTTGTCTTACATGTAGCCGCTTTTGCAATTAATAATCTCATGGGAATAAATTCATTATGCTTAATTATAACGTTCATTAAAACACATATATACATATTTAGATATATATGTATGTAATATATACATATATATTCATATTAGTACAAAATAAACAGCAGTAAACATACAGTTGCCAATTAATATTACAATTGTAGCTAGAGGACGTGATATCGGTATACCGAAAAACCGGTATGCTGTCTAAATTTTTGGCATTATTAATACCGAAATTAATTTTGAAAATACCACTATTTTCGATATGGAAATATAAGAGATAGTTGATACATTAAAATTTTAAATCTCATAGCTTAAAACAGATGTCCCTTTAGGTCAAAATATTATTTCGACTCGTCTCTGAATATTAATTGCTTTTGCAAGAGTTTTAAATTGTTTCTCAATATATAGCACAAGACTCATATTTACCACTGGATATAGTTTTTATTAATTTATAATTAAATATATTTGTTTTATTATTTAGTTACGTATTTCCTAGTTTTCCTAGTTGAAATATGTGTGAAAAATCACACGATCTAGCTATGAGATAATTTATTCCAATTTTCTTCTTAAATATTATCATTTGTTGAATCTGTACTTTTCACAAAATTAATATTTTCCTCGTCGCACCTAAATATAATAAGCTTTTCTTATTCAACCGTACATTGAATTCCATTTTCATTTACCTGTTTCCATTATACTTTTTATTTGTGATTTTCCACTTGAATATTCTGTATTCTAATAAATCACGTTGGAGCCAAAAAAAATAGAATTACGTTGAATACACTTGACTCGGTTCTAATGGATTTTTTTAATTTTCGTTATCAACGGGGACGATGGATAGCGACCTCAAATTGCCTTCTTTAGATTTTTTTAGATAATAACTTGATTTATCTATTTTCTTTATTGGCTTATTTTCCGCATTTTCTAATCTCGGCAGCTAAAATGTTGCTTTTCTTAACGGCTTAACGCACATTAAACTGATAAGGTAATCGAAATAATATTGTTCTATTTGAAAATGGGAAAGATTTATTGAGAAAAATATAAATGCTGGGTAATTAAATTAAATGTTGCCGTTATAGATATCTTTCTTAAATGTATCGTCATTTTTATATTCTTTTGTAAAGCCCTAACTATACTTTTTTGCGAAAATTTCTTTTTCTTATCTAATCTTCTTAATATATTCCTAATGGCAAATAACTGCAATTGTTGTGATTTTGTTATCTAACTTAAATTTCAGTTATTGTTTGCAATTGATTACTTCTCGTTTTTTAATTTTCCAAAAAAGCTTGTTTTTACCAGAAAATCTGACTCGATATCTATATATTATTTAGACTAATTTCATATTTCAAGTAATTTTAAATTGTTTGACACCAAAATGGCAAAAAGTGCGTGTTCATGTGAGTAAAATTTAGATTTTTTTTAAAAAAATGACACTGATTTTTTAAATTTAAAAGCTACTTTTTGAAGCTTAATACTAATTGAAAAAAAATTATCAACATTATAATAAAATCTAGAACCGATTTTATTAAATTCAAAAACTTCAAAGATACCAAATTACCAGGAAATCGTGCTTATTAGTTTTTTTTATAAAGAGCAGCCGGGTCGTTTCTTTGTATTAATTGTTAAAAAAAATATATAGACAGTTTTAATACAACCACAGAATTGATAATATTATCGAGCATCCTAAAATATTATAGGCTTATGAAAAGTGATTTAATATCAAAAATTACAAATTAAAGTTTAGAATATTGGTGTGCGCTTTCAGAACATACAGCATGTATATTTTGTTCTGTGCTAGATATTGATTACCGTTGACATACACGCTTATATTTAGATAAAATACATTTTTGAACACAAAGTAGAATGAAATATGGTAAATAATATAAATTTAAATAATACAATCAAAGGTTTTCATGGCGTAACGGTTAAAAGCATTGCCTTGTGTGGACGTTATCATTAGTTTGAACCTTGATAACCTGATATCATGCAGTAGTGATATCAAGTTTTACTTGAAAATATAGTTCAAATTGTGAAATAGCAATGGGAAATCTATCATACTATTGTACATATTACTAATTAATAAAATTAATGATAATATAAAGTTGATATCATGCAGTAGTGATATCAATTTTTACTTTAAAAAATAGATCAAATTGTGAAATAGCAATGGGAAATCTTTCACACTATTCTACATATTACTAATAAATAAATTAATGATAATATAAAGTTTTAAAAATATCTATTATAAATTGTATTGATTAGTTTTTAATGAAAAGCAAAAAAAAATATTACGAAAATAAACAATTGAAAATTTTATTGACATAATTTGAATAGTTGCTAAATCTCAATCCTTATTGATTAAGTCGATTACTTGCTTATACCAGGAAGTTCATGTAACTTACCTTATAATAAGTTACTCCTAATTCTATTTCGGCAGTGTTTACAGCAAATGCCTTGCAATTACTATAATTACATTAACTGTTCTCTCTCTCCTCACGTGTAAGTTTAATATACTTCCATTATGCATTACATAATACGCGATTTAAGTGTTCCAAAACACTTTCCCGTTCATATTGCTCTTGGAAAATTCTCTCAAAGTTTTCGACGCTTGTTTAGTCGGTTTACCTCATCCACTTGTCAGTTTCGCTCAAAGAAGAAAACAAAATATGAGGTCGGAAAATAAGTTCATTATTTGAACATTAGCAGCATTTAGGGAAGGGAAACAAATAATACAAAAATATATTGTTAGAAAACAGAAAAAATATGATTGAAATAGTAATAAAGGATTTTTTGAGTCGTTCAGTTGAGAGTCCATTGGTAAGATAACCAAAAATTTAAAATAAACTGGACTATAAAGTTAATAAAATTACAATATGTTTTTCTATCATATTATTTTTATCGACTAAGTTATACTTATTACATATTGCTTAAATTGCATTAAAAGGTCAGAATCGAGCAATTAATGTCTTTTTGATATATCTTTACAATATCTACAGAAAAAGCTTGAAGAAAATAATCCGAAAATAGATTGTTAGCAAACAAATGATTTTATGAATAAAATAGTTATTTGCTATACTAGATTACCCAAATTGTATTGTTCTACGAAAATTGTTAGGTATGATAAAGTAAAGGTCAAAATGAAGCAAATAAAAGTATAATGATAACTTTAATCACTAGTTCTTTATAGTTTTATGGTCAAAAATAACATTTTAGTGTATATGTATATAATAGTATTTCAGGTAGTTTTTATCCACTGAAGAAGGGTGGGACCGAGAACTTATTTTTTAGCAAAATTATTTTTTAACTGTAGACTGTGATAATAAAAATATTCAATTAAAAATATTGAACTAGTGAGCCAATCTGTTAAAAAATCTCATTATTTTTAACATAGCAACTTTGGTAATCAATAACCTCCAAGGAAGACTATCGTCATAGAATCTTCATAGGTATTACTAATCAGTGGTTTCAAAAACAAAATATTCATGATTATTGAATAATATCATTACAAACTATAATGGTACTAGTTATGGAAATGTTCATTAATTACTACTAATTTTATCTACGTAATAAGCAAAAAAATCGATTGAATATACCTGAGCAACTGCCTATTAGCTTCTCCACTAATTAAGTGTATAGTTATATTTTTGTACTTAAAATCTCTTATTGCATATTTCACGCTGTATAGTTATGAATAATTATTATAAATTAAACTAAAATAAATTTATAGATGCTTCAAAATTCTTATTTTAAATTATTTTTTCTGCTTTTGTAAATGAGTCAATATCATACATAAGATAAATTAATTTTGTGTGTTTTACCTGATTAGCAAATTTTTTAACGAATAGTATGCTAAAACTTGTAATAAAGATAGAGAGTGGAAAATGCATTTAAAATCATTTTGTCTTCACAAAAATTATTTAAAATTATATCCATTACCTAAAAAGTTTGACAGGCTCTGCTTTTAAAGTCTAAATGTTGCCATTTTTGGTCTTGTAATCAGGGGCTGAAAGTGTCTGAGTATTTTTCGCATAATGGACTATTTATCTTGATTACTCATCTCGTTGCCGGAATTATTGAATCTATCGTCGCAGCGCTTCATTCCTTTCCGGCATCCGGCATATCATATCCGGAGGAAAATCGATTCGAATTTCAAATTTTGCACGAGGCGGTTTGTGATCATTGTTGGTTGAATTTTAGAGAAATTGATAGGATAAATCAGTGAAATAAAATAATAAAATATATTTGATAAATTATTTTTTGAAAACAGCTTTCGAATGATTTAACAAGGTGTAAATGGATTTTGCTTTAAAGCAAATTCAAATTTGAAATTAATTGTATTTCTATCATTGGTCACTGGTTATTGTTTATTGTTTTTTTCCTCGAATTTTTAATTACAATATGGAAAGTTCCAGCAATTTTCCTTAGGGCACATGTGAAATTTAGAACCAAGTCTATAATTTAGAACTAAGTTTATAATCTAGAACCAAGTCTAAAATTTAGAACCAAGTCCAAATTTTTTCAAAGACTAATCCATGACATTTTTAACAAAGTCCATGACATTTTTAACAAAGTTGTCGTCGTTTTAATTTTTTCAAATTTCTAAAGACTAATGTCATTGTTAACAAAGTTTTTGTCTACCAAGTCTAATTCCTTGAATTAATACAAAAGTTATCTATTATTTCTTATTTTTACTAAATGTCGGTGTACCATGCGTAAGCGGCACGCTGCATGACGCTTAACCTAGACCTAGGGGTGATTTCAGGTTACTGCGACATTTACTGTACCGAATTGAGATGGGACAAATGAATAACTAATAAACACAAAACTACTAACATTTTTATGGGTATTATTTTATATCTACAAACTATATAATAAGAAAATTAAGATCAATTATTATAATTAACATTATCATGACTAACAATTACGAAACTGCTAAAATTTTTAGTAAAACATTAAATTTATATGCTTCTAAAAAAATCCATAACTCATATATATCATAATCTCACATTATGCTAAATTTAGTATTACTTCTTATACTATACATAAACTTTTTGTAACAATCACTTACGCATATATATACAAAATAAATTACAAATATATATATATTACAAAAAGTTTATGTAGAGTAAAAAAATAATACTATAACTAGTATAATGTAAGATATGATATAGATTTCATTTTAAACATTATAATATGTAAGTGATTATTACAAAATTGAATAATATTAAGAAAACCAATATTTTGCTATTAAAACAATTGATTAAACTTTATAATCATATTTCAATTTTAATATTTAAAATACTAACACTAAATCTTTTATTGTCACATTATTTTCAATTTATTCTAAAGTCTAGAATCAGGTTTAAAGTTTAGAACCAGGTCTAAAGTTTAGAACCAGGTCTAAAGTTTAGAACCAGGTCTAAAGCTTAGAATTAGGTCTAAAGTTTAGATTCAGGTTTAAAGCTTAGAACCAAGTCTAAAATTTATAACCAGGTCTATAATTTAGAACCAGGTTTAAAGTTTAGAACCAGGTCTAAACTTTAGAACTAGGTCTGAAATTTAGAACTAGGTCTAAAATTTCAAACAAGGTCTAAAATTTCAAACAAGGTTTAAAATTTAGAACTAGATCTAAAATTTAGAATTATGTCTAAAATTTAGAACTAGGTCTAAAATTTAGAACCATGTCTAACATTTAGAACTAGGTCTAAAATTTAGAACCAGGCCTGATGTTGAGAACAAGGTCTAAAATTTAGAACCAGGTCTAAAATTAAGAGCCAAGTCTATAATTCAGAACCAGGTCTTAAATTTAGTTTTTCTTGGGGTCTGACAATTTGCCAATGAATTTCACCAAATATGTACTAAACATTAGCAATATATTACTATATAGTTTATAGCAGCAGTATAGTATTTATCGTAATTTGTGCAGTTTAGACATATTAGAACGTGAACTGTTGTGATATTTCACTGTGGCGAATAGTTTCGACCTCTTAGCAAAGTTAGTATCATTGACTTCTGCTCTGGACAGTGTTGTTAGTGGTCCAATACAGAACTTGTGTAATATTATAAACTTATATCCAGTTTGGTTAAGCTTTCATAGATTAAGTTCAGTAATATTTAAAATGGACAGTTCTGTCGATGACAGAATTGGAGCAATTTTTGGAAATTCTTGATTAAATTTGTGGCTGATATATTATGTTGATGTTTGATTTTTGTGAATCAACTAATCAATGGCGGGAAAAACTGAATTTTTCAATCATTTCCCTCTTTATGTATGCTTTCCAGTGACATGTACAGTTTTTTTCGCTTCACTAAAGTTCATTAGCGCTCCGTGGCCGAACCGAATCGAGAAAAATTAGATTTGTTGATTTATTTGTTTGGAAAATGTCATATGTGGGATTATTCAACAGTTCCGTCCGATTCAAAAACGAAGTTTTGTTTTGGTGATTTTTTGCGTGCATTTTCCGTAGAGCTGAGTATGGAAATAATACAGCTGTCAGTATTTATATGGTAGAGTTCAGAGTGAAGGTTTATAAGATTTTTTGGTTTTGTTTTTGTAATATGATAAAAGCAATGTATTCGGGTTTGATGGGTATTGTCACTGCAAATTAGCAATTGTCACGATTATTAGATATCTATTTCTATGACCATCACTTTTTTAAATGTTTCTCGTGAATAACTAGTATTTGAAATACATTCTTTAAGCTGCAGCTCTTTAACTTCTCAGTGAATTTACTGTATAATTTTCAACACCTCAATTTTTTTAAAAAAAAATTAGAAGATATTTCTTGATCAAATTTGGTGGGTCATGCTATATTCGCTAACATTGCACATATTTTTTGCTAAATCGCAATTCACCTACTTTTTGGTTGAAGCTCTCATCTGCTTTAAATGATAAAAAGGAAGTTTTTAGTGAAACTGTCGAAAATTTTATTTCAACAGAAGCTTGTAACTTCTGGAAAAATTTTAGGTATTTGAAATATCTGCAGATCAGAATTATTTCACAATTATATATCTTATCTAGTATCTTTTATAATATATAAAACCTATAAGTTCTAATTATTCTCCTGGATATGTGACCCACATACGTATTAAAGAAATCTACTTATAAATTCTGATCACTTCATTTATTTTATACGTTCAATGGTTCTATTTTTGCCTTTGCAGATAACTTGGTATCAAGACTCGTTTCCCATTCAGCAATCCGATAGAAAATTAATGGATTTCCGCGGAGAGAAACATTCTTTGATTATAAAAAATGTTCAAGTCGGAGACTTCGGTAATTACAGGTGAGTTTTTGTTCGTAAAAATACTCTCAATGATGTACATCTATATTAAAGAAATTTTATTATATATATATATATATATATATATATATATATATATATGTATATATATATTATATTTGTATGTGTATAAATATACAAGCCTGAAAGTTTCTTCAAAGTTTTAACAAGAAACTTTATCTTTTTAAACTTTAGTTACAATGGGGTTCTACTGATATAGTGTTCAACCTGATATGTTTCTCATCTTGTATATTTTATGGTTAAAAATAATTCAGATAATATTCAGATTTATATGAATATTAATATAATTTTTGCAGTACTAACATGTATTAATAATTTTATCACAAGTACACTATTCTATGGATTTTGTTATTTGTAGTCATTGGCAATTTAGTGATAAAATCTTTTGTGATCGTGATCAGTTTCTAGAATTGCATTAATAATTAAAGTCTTTTATTTTTATTAAATGGCTCAAGAGTATGTATATATGTTAAGTATAGTTTTTATCAAATTAATTTAAATTAGTGCCTTATTAGGGCTTTTCGTGATCTCCTGTACAATTTTATTTGCATTTATTAATCATAATAATTTATTGTTACCTCATAAAAATTTAGTATAAAATATCTATGAATATTTATTAAATTATATGCTTTACAATCATTCTCGTTAAACATAAAAATTTTGAGGGTTTCAATCATGAATTCATATATATTTATATTGTGTATCAAGTTTTTCTTCCATCTATAAACAATATTATAGCAAAATAAAATGTGGATATAAAATCGATCACAAAATTCTTGTATTTTGGTAATAATAGTCAATTTTATTACTCAAAGCATCCATTAAATATATCTGCAATCTATTCTGTAAAGCTTTGTAACTAACGATGCAATTTATCTTGTTCGAAGAGCGAAGATAAAAGCTTCAACTTGAAAACGCCTAGAATGCACTTAGATAAATTTAAAACACATAGTAATAAAAATTATAAGGGTGGTGCTTAATATGGACATTTTCGAATTTCCTTGCTCCCAAGGGCTCAAATGGTTCCAAATTGATAAACAATTCTCTCAAAGTTTTAGCTGATTATTTGATTATCTATTTCCCTTTCAGTTGCATAGCCGACAATTCTCTAGGAAGAGCGAAAAAGTACATAGAATTATCCGGAAAACCTGGTCCGGCTAATTTTCTTTCTCCGGTTTATGGCCGCTCCAGAGACTCTTACAATTTAACATGGGCCGTACAAAGTTGGCCACCCCTGGAAGAAGTTCGACTTATGTACAGAAAATTGATGGTAAGTGATAATTATAATAATTATACATAATGGTAATACTTTGTCCATACCAATTTTTGGCCATAAATTTTATGAAAACAATTATTTAGAATACAGTATTTATTATAAATTTAATGTCATCCAAATATGTGCTATGTCCCGATTCATCTCACGTCTGAATATCACCTAAAAACCTATTATCTCCAAAAAATTAGTTTCGCCCTGAAAATCAATACCTACAAAACATATGATTTTTCCGTATAGTCCTTAATACATTAATACATCCCCTGTCTATTAATGTTTCATTACTTTTCGCGCATTATTCGGAATAAGCGATTTTCGGAGTTCATCCAATTATCTGGCGGTTTCATTAATAAAAGTACAAAGATGATAAAACCCTCCCAAAGGCAGATGATGGATATACGATATTTCTGTTCAAACTAATTCTGAGCTTTTCCTTTATTCCGGGGTAGAGGAATTGCAAATGTGGTAATGGTAAATGATATTTAGGGCCGATATGGGAAATATCGATCAATTGCTAAAATCTATCATGGGGTCCAGGATTTTAGACTTTCTGATACACTTCTGAAGTTGGTGATATAATTCGTGGATGCACATTTACTGCAAGGTCACACTCATTCTACTTGTTTATCTATGGTCACACTTATTTTGGTAAAATGTTAGTAAAATTGTAATATCTATTTTGGTCACCTATTTTATCTTACATGACAATATGGAGGTACAGTAAGCAGTTCAAAAATAATAGGCACTGAAGTGGTTTCACTTATAAATAAAATATTCCAAAAGTCGAACCAATGCCATTTTATTATTTGTGATATTTGGAGGTTAGTTTTAAACCATTGACTTGTGTGAAAATAGAATAGATGCACCGAAAACCAAATCTTCAACATCATACTATTCTTTTGCACAAAGTTATGTGACTAAGGGAGTCTGATTGCCACATAGCTACTCAACCGAAAATAGGCCCAGTGCTTATTTGAAAATATGATAAACGTGCCATGTATTAGGTTTAAAATTATCCAGAATGGCATGACAAACACTTAATATTCACCTAGATCCGTGATTTCCAGAAATGGTTCATGTAGACTCCCAAGAGTCCATAGCAACTTTCAAGGGGTTCATAGCAATTTCAGAGTCCACTTCAGTCGAACAAAATCTAGGAATCCTCAAATAATAAAAATGGAGGTCCATAGTATGGATCACAACTAACCATATTAAAATTTAATTCCTCTAGATTCGAGATAATTATTTTCCTGATTATTTTTCCCCTAGGCCGCAAGTTTGGCTTCCTGCTCACCAAGTTCTAATTTCTTATACCATTATACGAGTCCTACTACATCATATAAGGTTTGCGACGAGGCGATGAGAGATATATATGAAATATAAATATGTTAGCATTATTTACTTCCTGTACGTGATATAAATTGGGGAAATATACGTGAACTTTTATTTGTTTACTAAACCAGTAGTACC